TCCGTCAAGCTGCATTTAGGTCATGACACATTTATCAATCAGAGGCTCTGCTCCGTGTGTGAGCTGATCCCGCTTGCCACGCTGAATGGATAGAATCCCAGCCCAAAGCCCCCAAATGCCACGCCATGTCTTTTAAAATGGCTGACAGCTTGAAACTGTTGTTAGTTCCAGTTATTATTAGAGGGAACCACTAGAGGTCAGAGAAAACCGTGTCTGGGGTGCGGTGCTTCTGCCCCACTACCGACCACAAGGGGGAACCCCAGGGACCTGTCTCTATAGCGGACACCCCATTGCCCCCAGAAGAGTGCTTGGTCCCATGGCCGACATTATCTAGACTTAACCAAGAGCAAGTTTATCTCTTCTGCCTACTCACGGAATCTGAGGTAACGTACTTCACTGCTTCAGTGAGATTTTGCACTTTTTAAAATTCTTCAGTTATTTAAATCTTTCCATCTGGCGACAAAGGCACCTTAATTTCATGCCATCGGATCCCTCATATCCAAATAAGTTTTGGAACTTTATGGAATACTGCAGGTTTTTTTTTTTTTTTTATATTGTATGCATCTACCAGGGCCAAAAACCATAAAGATATTAAAATGGCATCCAAAAATAACATAATCTTTTATAACCCACTTTTTATACCATATGATTTTTTTAATGTTTATTTTTTTTATTTAAAATTTTGGTTAATGTTTATTTTTTATTTTTATTTTTGAAAGAGAGAGAGGGAGAGAGTGCAAGGGAGACCAAGAATCCAAAGCGGGCTCTGCTCTGACAGCAGTGAGCCCAACGTAGGGGTTGAACTCACGAACCATGAGATCGTGACCTGAGCCGAAGTTGGACACTTAACCGACTGAGCCACCCAGGAGCCCCTCCTTTTTTTCTCCTAGAAAATGTGATGAACTGATGGCTTTTCACTGACTTGATTTGTTTCGATTATTTGTAGTCATTAGTTATGTTTTGGTGATTGGAAGGTCACAAGTTAGCCAAAGCAATCCTTAAACTGCCCGTGTAGCCTTTGGACAAAAGTGGGCAAATTCTTTTAAGTGTCTTTGCTTTCTGGTAACAAGACATCCCGTACCCATCTTATACCTGCCCTGTCCCAGACGTGCAATCAGCTAGTTTCCTAAGCCCCAGTTCCCTTCAGTGGAAATTGATATTAGAGACCAAACTGAAAAGTCTTAATCCTATATTCAAACTATAATTAGGCCTCATTATTTTTATCATAGATGACTCATGTAATTGTCAGTCTGAAACTTTTTTTTTTTTTAATGAATTTGGCTCTTTTCTTCGAACTTTTTTTTTTTTAATTTTTTAACGTTTATTTATTTTTGAGACAGAGAGAGACAGAGCGTGAACGGGGGAGGGGCAGAGAGAGAGGGAGACACAGAACCGGAAGCGGGCTCCAGGCTCTGAGCCATCAGCCCAGAGCCCAACGCGGGGCTCGAACTCGCGGTCCGTGAGATCGTGACCTGAGCTGAAGTCGGACGCTCAACCGACTGAGCCACCCAGGCGCCCCTGAAACTCTTGATTCATAACAAAGCTAACAGAATGACTGATTTATTTTACTTGCCAATAAAAGAAATAGATCCACAATAGTGAGGCCAGAATTAATGCTTATGATACCACTGCTAAATGAAATGCAAATTTGTATTTGTACTTGCCTGTGTCCTTGAGGCACAGTGAAATTACTTGGCTTTATTCCTCTGAAATAATCCCTCAGTCTGTGGGTTGTGGAAGTTCTGTCCAAATGTTTCAGTTCGTTTTCAGTTTGAAGGGGTCAGAGTTTGACAGTTCTGAGCTCTTCATAAATTTTTTCTAAAATGTTTTACTTGTTTTTGTGAGAGAGAGAGACATAGCATGAGTGGGGGAGGGAGAGAGAGAGAGAGAGAGAGAGAGAAAGAGAGGAAAACACGGAATCTGAAGCAGGATCCAGGCTCCCAGCTGTCAGCACGAAGCCCGATGAGGGGCTCAAACTCACAAACTGTGAGATCATGACCTGAGCCGAAATCGGCCGCTTAACCAACTGAGCCACCCAGGCACCCTGACAATTCCGAGCTCTTTATATTTTAGCTTCTGCTTTCCACTTGGGGCTGTCTTCAGCCACTGACAAAAGAATTAGTTTTATTGGCTCACATCATGAAGATAAATAGTAATACCTCAACAGTTGAATCTTCGTAGTACAAAATGAGAATTTCATTTAAATCACTGTCTGGATCACCTACAATGACTCATTGCACAGTTATATGTGCAAGATTTATGTATGTGCAATCTGAACAAGGCTGGACAGACCTAGTCCGACTTCCTCTATTCAATCTCTCTTAATACATTGGGAAGCCACAGCTTCCTGACTCCAATCAGACTTCTATTGTACTAAATCCTATCCTAACATGAGAGCTTTTCGGTTATCTGCCTCCTCCCCCGACCCCCGGCCCAGCCAGCTTTTCTTCTGTCAGTCATATATGATACCAATCCCTTCCAATCAATATATCGTGTGTTCTAAGTATTGTCACATCAAACCACAGGTCTAAATAATGCTTCATTTAGTTTTACAATATATATAAGCCAAGATAGTTTTCTATATTGCTGTTTTCTAAATACAGTACCATTTATTAAGACATCTTAATCTACCTCCAAGAAAAATACACACACACACACACACACACACACACACAGTGGAATATACATATGTATTAGAATGGCATACTATTGGGAGAATATATACCAATTCAGGTTTTTCAGGTTTTGTCAGAAATATTCTTTTAACTCATAAGGTCATAATTCTGACCTTATTTTTCTACACATACGTTTTTCTTCTTTTCCTTTTAATTTTCATTCCAGCTAACAGACAGTACACATACACTTTTCTATTGTCAATAGTATTAAGTGCGAATGGCTCAGTAGTGTTCCAAATCTTCAGTGGCTTTTGGATAAAAACAACCAAATAAGACACAATTCCATTATAGTGTTGAAGAGTTATTTCAGATGTTACGTATGTCACTTTAAAGCTTTAGCCACAGGTGACTTCTGACTCTGGTTCTGATGGAGAACGATGCAGTAGGCTCTCTCTCCGTCTAGATTGTACAGATGTAAATCTGTGCACACACCAATAAAAACCGTATTCTATAGTGGTACCAAGGAGTGGCGGGTGCAGGCGGGCCTTGGCCAGTGGCATTCCGGACAGGGGCAAGCCTGTCCTAGGTGGGTAGCCACCGAAGCCTCCATTCCTGGACCAGCCACTGAGCTGAATGCGGGCGGGCAGCGTGGGCTTCCCGGACCATTGTGCATAGTCGTGCATTCCAGAGCCCTGCGAGAGCTCCAGCCAAAGGTGCTCCCACACACTGGTGCTGGGCTGCCGGCCCAGGTACTGACAAGATCAAAGCCTCTGGCTCCTTGACAGTGACCTGAGTCCGGGACCAACCAAAGCTGAACTCCATCTCATTGCAGCCGCGGTCCAGCCCGGCCCCCTGCTCCGCTAACTCCTGGTGGGCTCCCCATGGCCAGCCCCTCACAGCGCCAGACCGGAAAACACTTGGTCTCTCCAGGAAAGAGAAAACAAAATTTCAGGAAACTCTTCAGTATTCAAGAAAAACAATTTATGGAAGACCTTTGTTTTATGATTGTACCGAATTTTAGCTGTAATACCCTTTAACTGCAATCCTGTGTTTCCACTGAATTTGCCTGAAGTGTTTGCTCTTTACCTTTGGTGCAGAAATAAAATACGTTAGATGCCTTAAATTCCCAATTGTGCATGCAGTGGGATCTGGACAATAACCACAGATACATTTTTTTTTAAAGAAAATACTTTAAAATATGAATGCAGACGTTTAATTTCCCCTCTCTATTATGCCATCTATTTTGATCACCTTTTGAACGGAAAGAGATTTAATATAGAAGACCTCAAATTAAAAGTAATATTTAAAAAATATTTTTATATTTATATCGTAAATATTTTATGTATTTACAGCAACATATCCAAATCATTCTTAAATGTATCGTGCATTTTAATAGTATTAAAATATTAATGAAATTGGGGCACCTAGGTGGCTCAGACCATTAAGCATCCAACTTCGGTTCAGGTCATGATTTCAGGGTTGGTGAGTTCGAGACCCACATCTTCTCTGTGCTGACAGGTTGGAGCCTGGAGCCTGCTTCAGATTCCGTGTCTCCCTCTCTCTCTGCCCCTCCCCTGCTTACACTCTGTCCTTCTCTCTCTCAAAACGAAACCTTAAAAAATGTGTTGTAATTTTTTAAATCATAAAATATTAATGAAATTAACAACCTATATTACTCTCTACTTAACGTGTAGCTTGCAAGAATTAAAAGATATCTACCCGCATAAGACAGTATGGCATCCCTAGAAGGTTAAGATTCACCAGGAATGCAGAGATGCATACCTGCCCGTGATATTGCTGAAAACCTCATTTTAATGATTGCGTCACGTGACGCCATAGGCTTGCACCAGAATTTAGCCTGCCCAACCCCGTTGGTGTGCTTCACTTCGTCACCGTGAATCAGACTGAGATTAACCACCGTGGACTCACTGAGCTTTGCGTTTCTGACTATATCCTTACGACACGTGCCTAGACAGGTGTGGCCGTTTGTTCAGGACTCTTGGTGAGAATTTTCTGGTCGCCTTCCCAAAAGCTGGTCACCAGCGTGCATCCCATGAACACCGTACCATCGTATCACCAACCGTCTCACCACGCCCTCAGCGGCCACTGGGTGTAGTCTTTACTTTTATTATTATCACCTCTGCCACTTTGAACGTGGCAAGTGAAGCCTCGTTATTTGGGTTTCACTTATTTCGTTGCGGCTGCGGCTGAACGCGTTTTGTACGTTCACCGCGCGCCCAGCTTTCGGGGTCCCTCCCGTCCCCGCCCCCGTCCCCGCTTTGGCCGCCAGGTAGGCGAGTGGGGCCGAGCGCGCAATTCCGGGCCCCGCGGCCAGGGGGCGCTGCCACCCAAGTCCCCCACCCCTGCCTCCCCGCCCCGTCCGGGCTGGGGCGGGCGGCGGGGGCGCAGGCGCGGGCGGGGCGCGAAGGTCGGCGTCTTCAAGCCCTGACCTTCGCCGGAGGGCCCCGCGGCAGCATGACGGTGGGAGCCAGGCTCCGAAGCAAGGCGGCGAGAGGCCTCCCGCGCCGCGGGCCCCGGGGGCGAGCGCGGACGGAGGGGGACGAGGAGGCGGCCGCCCTCCTGGAGCAGCCGGAGCGCGGGGACGAGGCGGCGAGCTGCGCGAACGCGGGGCGCCCGGGCGCCCGGGGCGCGCGCAAGGTGCACCTGGCCGTCCTCCCCGAGCGCTACGAGCCGCTGGAGGAGCCGGCGCCGGGAGAGAAGCCCAAGAGGAGGTACCGGCAGAAGCTGAAGAAGTACGGCAAGGTAGGGCCCGCGGGGTCGGGGTGCGGGCGGTCCGGGCCCCGGCTTCCCGAGCGATCGATCGCCGCGAGGGTGGGGGTCGGGTCCCCACCGTCCGGCTGCGCTCAGCCTCTCCGGGCTGCCCCTGCGTCCCCTCGCCAACAGTCGCTACTAGAGCACCAGAAAGTGTTCCGCCTGTCGTCCGGGAGGTGAGGGAAAAGGAAGTCGCAAGTAATGACAGAGGCCAAACCAGGGCTTTCGGGGAGCACCGATGCATCCGCTCCTCTGGGGCTGGCGGGTTGGTAACATTTCCAGCGGGCCCCAACATTCCTGGTGGCTCTGATCCCCGTGAGGCTTGACCTCCCTTGTCCAGTTGGTGGGATAGAATTCCCTATTTTGCAGATGGGGACTACTGAGGCATTAGCGTGGTTAGGGGACTTGTAGAAGGCGACCCAGCTGGAAAGTAGGAAGTTGGGGGCCAGTTCATCTGTTCTCTGCCAACAGTCCTCGCCAGGGTGTCCCTCCAGCTGAGAGCTGTTTGGGTTATGACCCCCAAATATTCCCACGGTTATTTCCAGGGCCTGGGAGCTCAACAGATACGTACATAGGCACTTGTTGGATCTCCTTTTCTCTTCTCCCAGCCGGCTGTGGGTGTATTCTGGGGCCTGCAGACATGCCTTTTGCCTTGGGTGGGGGCAGGGGAGGAGGAAGGGGTGAGACAGAGAGGGGGAGAGCGAGAGAATAGGAATATGGGATAAAATGACGGTGTCCTCAGAGGTCAGAGCCTGAGGTGCCCAAGTGCCTCTGCCTGGAATCACTTGCAGCTGCTGCTGAGTCCGCTCCCTGGGGCGGGACAGGGCCACACAGAAGACTGTGCAGAACTCACGGTGTCCTGGCCGAAGGCGCCATCTGCTTTTTACTGCCTCATTATCTGTGTCATCCAGTGGCCTCTTATCATATCTAAAACCATCCAGTCTCCACTCCTAGGAACTTCGGTTTATTATCCCCTGTAAAAAGCAGTCACAGTGCACGAGCAGCCAGTGGTACGTGTTATTACTAAGAACTGTCAAGTCGGGACTTTCCAGCTCGGAGTCGCGCTAGGACTCCTCGCGCTCTACCTGGTCTCAGTGGAGCACAAGGAAGCAAGCCATCATTTGCCTCAGCTGGTGAAGTGGTAATGTGGACAGCTCGGGTCACAGGGTGGCCCTTGGAGGTGGTTTCTGGGAGCTTGCCACGTGTAGGGACTGTGCTAACCACTGGAGATGCAAAAATAGATACAGAGCAGTCCTGCCCCAGTGAAGTCCACGCCTCCCGGGGAGATCCTGGCATAGTTGGGGCACCACCATGGAGCCGCATGGTACAGAGTCCTCAGGAGGTTGGAAAGCTCAGGACGTTTTCTTTTTTCTTTTTTTAAGTGTTTATTTATTTTTGAGAGAGACAGAGCACTGGTGGGGGAGGGGCAGAGAGAGAGAGGGAGACACAGAATCCGAAGTAAATGCCAGGCTCCGAGCCTGATGCGGGGCTTGAACTCGAGGACGGGGAGATCATGACCCGGGGGGAAGTTTTATTTTAAAAAAATTAAAAAAAAAAAAAAAAGGTGAGAGGTTGCATTGGGGGTGCTTGGGTGGCTCAGTCAGTTGAGTATCTGACTGTTGGTTTCAGCCCAAGTCATGATCTCCTAGTTCGTGCATTCAAGCTCCACATCAGGCTCTGTGTGGACAGCGTGGTCATCAGGCAGCTAGGAGAGGGTCAGAAAGAGGAAGTGTCAGTCGTGGAATAACCTTCAGCTCAAGAGGGAGAAAAATGTCCTCATGCTCTAGGTAGCAAGCAGGTTGGGACGGGGCATTGGAGCCAGACTGCCAGGCTCAAGCCCCTGCCCCCACCACCTGTTGATGGCTATGCCCACCTCTTTGCCTCAGTTTCCTCATCTGTAACATGGGATAAGACTAGGGTCGTAGCAAGGAGTAAATGAGTTTGTCCATGCAAAGATCTCCGAGCACACCTGGCGTGTGGAAGGACTCTTGTGACTGTTGGCTGTTATTTCAGGGGGTGAAGGAGAGACCCCGTGTGACTGTTTCTTTCCTGATTATGTTTATGCTCCTTTTTATGTTTGTTTATTTATTTATTTTTTTTTTAATTTTTTTTTCAATGTTTTTATTTATTTTTGGGACAGAGAGACAGAGCATGAACGGGGGAGGGTCAGAGAGAGAGGGAGACACAGAATCGGAAACAGGCTCCAGGCTCTGAGCCATCAGCCCAGAGCCTGACGCAGGGCTCGAACTCACGGACCGCGAGATCGTGACCTGGCTGAAGTCGGACGCTTAACCGACTGCGCCACCCAGGCGCCCCATGTTTATTTATTTATTTTTGAGAGAGAGAGAGAGAGAGAGAGAGAGAGAGAGAGAGAGATCATGAGCAGTGGGAGAGGCAGAGAGAGAGGGAGAGAGAGAATCCCAAGCAGGCTTCACAGCCTCAGCCAGGAGCCTGATGCGGGGCTCAAACTTACAAACTGTGAGATCATGACCTGAGCCAAAACCAAGAGTCGGCTGCTTGACCGACTGAGCCACCCAAATGCTCCAGCTTTTATTGCTTTTTAATGTTCCTTTATTTTTGAGAGAGAGACACAGGGAAACCAAGGATCCTAAGCGGGCTCTGCACTGACAGCAGAGAGCCCGATGCAGGGCTCAAACTCAAGAACCGTGAGATCATGATCTGAGCCGAAGCCTGACGCTTAACCGCCTGAGCCACCCTGGCGCCCCTCTGGTTACGTTTTAATGAGCTGTAACTCAGAAAAAACCTCAGTCTGTAGCTGATTGCCCACCTCAGCTTTGTGCCTGCCTCCTGACCACATTTCAAAACTGAAGGCTTGGTCTTTATATTTAGGGGGAAATGATCTTTGTGGGCAGCTAGGTTTTGTTTGTTTGTTTTTTAACTAGAAGTGCGCAGAGAATCCCTGTCTTCCCTGGGGGTTAGTTGAATACCAGAAAACCCCCCAAAAGCCTGGCATCCTATGACAGCTCTAACAGATTACCACCAGCGCCGTGGCTTAGGTCATAGCACAAATTGTGCGGGTCTGGAGGCCAGGATCCCGAAATCAGTCTCACTGCGCTGAAGTCTGCAGGCTGGGCCCCGTGGGGCCTGCAGGGAAGAACCAGGCTCTTTGCTCGTTCTAGCTTCCAAAGCTTCCACATCCTCCATCACAGCCAGCACTGCATCGTCCGCAAATCTCTCCCTGTCCCTCTGCCTCTGTCATTACATCGCTTTCCGTCTGACCCTTTCTGTGTCCCTCTTGTAAGGACTGTTGTCTTTCTTCAGATCCTTTTAAATATATGGGGTTTCTTAAAAGGATTGGGCCCACTTGGATAATCCAGGACCACCTCCCCATCTCAAGACCCTTAATTTAATCACATCTGCAGGGGGCGCCTGGGTGGCTCAGTTGGTTATGAGGACAGTCAGGTCATGATCTCGCTGTTTATGGGTTCAAGCCCCGCGTTGGGTTCTGTGCTGACAGCTTAGAGCCTGGAGCCCAGTTCAGATTCTGTGTTTCCCTCTCTCCGCTCATGCGCTCTCTCTCTCTCTCTCTCTCTCAAAAATAAATAAACATTAAAAAAATTTTTTTAACCACGTCTGCAAAGTCCCTTTTGCCACATAAGGGCCACATAGGCACAGATTCTTGGAATTGGGGGGCGATATTCAGTCTGCCATGCTGCCCTGTGCTCCCCCATGTCTCAACGCTTCTCTGGAGAGATTATTTGGGTTGAAAACTTGACTCAGGTCAAAGAGTTCAAAACGTCCCTCACATGACTGGCGTTAAATCAACTGGTCATTAATAGGTATTTTACATTTCTCTGTATCACTTTCCTCCAATCTGCTCTGACAGTGTTCCAGCTAATGAGCTATTTTAGTAGCTTTTTTCTAAAAAATTTTTAATGTTTATTTTTGACAGAAAAGGAAACAGAGTGCGAGCAGGAGAGGGGCAGAGGGAGAGGGAGACACAGAATCCGAAGCAGGCGCCGGGCTCTGAGCTGTTAGCACAGAGCCCGACACGGGGCTTGAATTCATGAACCATGAGATCCTGACCTGAGCCGAAGTCGGACGCTCAACTGACTGAGCCACCCAGATGCCCCTTGGTGACTTCTTTCTAAATTACAAAAATGATGTGCCAGGCAATATTTGAAAATAGCAGGCCGAGGAAAATGGATGCGCAGATACCAAAAATGTCAAGTTTAATGCAGGCCATCCGTGATTCTGGTGGCATTGCTTACGGAGGACTGTTACACTTGCTCCCAGAGAACAGTTGCCTTTGTTATTGTTATCTCAAGGAGGCAAGTAAAATTCTCCCACCGAATCTTACTACTCAATAACAGAGATGGCTCTCTTAGCAGCATCACGCTACCCCCCGCCCCACGCATGCACCCTGATGTCTCAGTGAGAAGTCCGCAGGGCAGTATGGCAGGAATCCGTGTCTAGAAAAGCCATGGATGTTACTCGAATATCTCCCAGGGCTCCTCATTTAGCCTGAGAGTTTCCGAAAGAAAGACCCAGGCCCTTTCCGGGTGCTGGGGATACAGTAATGAGCAGAAGAAAGTCCCTTCATCGGGGAGAGAGGGAGAGTCAGCCTACCAGATCGGCAGAGTAGGTTTGTTGGGCGGTGTTGGAAGTGAGGTTTGGGACTGAGATCAGGGATTTTAAGGGAAACCAGGAGTTTTAGGTGCTTCCTGGAGTTGGAAAAGTCAGGGGGCCAGAAGACAAGGCGTGTGGTGGGGTCTAGGTCACCTCCATGGATGTTGACATCATCCAGAATGATGAGGGAATCTGGGAGAGGTTCGGGGATGGTGGGGGGCGGGGGGGGTGGGTAACAGCACATCAGGATTAGTGGGTGGTAGCCGGCTGCATTTTTCCTGTTGCGATTCCTTTTGAATCCCTTGATGGCCCCTGTCTAGCACCATGCCTTGCAGAAAAAGAGTGGGTAGCAAGAAAGCCTGCTGTCATCCTACCCTCAAGGAGTTGTTGGGGGTTTTTTAATGTTTATTTATTATTTTTGAGAGAGAGAGCGCAAGAGCGAGCACGAGCCCATAAGTGCAAGTGGGGGAGGGGCAGAGAGAGAGGGAGACACAGAATCGGAAGCCGGCTCCGGGCTCCGAGCTGTCAGCACAGAGCCCGACCCGGGGCTCAAACCCACAGACCGTGAGATCGTGACCGGAGCCAAAGTCCAGATGCTTAATGGACTGACACACCTCAAGGAGTTTATAATTGCACTGAGGGATGCAGCAATCAGAGAACAGCAGGAGTCTTTAGACACAAAGGTGTGGGTTGTGCCCTGGAGGGAGGGAGGACCGTGTGGGCTTTCAGATTAGGCGGGTGAAGGAAGAGTTGACCCAGCCTTCAGATGATGCGGTAACTTGGCTGGAACAGAGAAGAGTGGACTTTGGTTTAAAAAACAAAACAAAGGGCACCTGGGTGGCTCGGTCAGTGGAGCATCCACCTCCCGATTTTGGCCACGGGTCATGGTCTCACACTTTGGGAGATCGAGCCCCATGTGGGGCTCTGCGTTGATAGCGTGGGTGCGCTCCCTCTCTCAAAACAAATCACCACAGGGGAGAAATGAAACAAAGATAAATAAAAAATAGAACAAAACCAGGGGTGCCTGGCTGGCTCAGTGAGTAGAGCATATGACTCTTGATCTCAGAGTTCAAGCCCCACATTGGGTGTGGAGCCTACTTTGAAAAAAAAGAGGAGGGGCGCCTGGGTGGCTCAGTTGGTTAAACCTCTGACTTCGGCCCGGGTCATGTTCTCACGGTCCATGAGTTTCGAGCCCCGCGTCGGGCTCTGTGCTGACAGCTCGGAGCCTGGAGCCCGTTTCCGATTCTGTGTCTCCCTCTCTCTCTGACCCTCCCCTGTTCATGCTCTGTCTCTCTCCGTCTCAAAAATAAATAAATGTTAAAAA